GGGTCTCGAACCCGCAGGCTCAGGCAATTCACTCACCTCAGCCTCCCAAAGGCGTGGGATGACAGGCTGAGCCACCGAGCCCGGCTTAGTTACTCTCTTTAAGGAAGGAAATGAGAACGGCGGCGAGAGAACAGACCCCAGCCCCAGCCCGAGGGAGGCTGGGAAGGGGAGGGTGCAGGTAGGGCAGATAACAAGTTGGACTCACCTCCTCTGGCCATGGCCTTGGCCTCCTCAGGCCCCTCCCGCTCCCAGCCAGCAGATGAGCTCATGGCTGCCGTCTGGACCTCGCCCCTGCCGATGCCGCCTCCCCAGGGCCCCGCAGGCCTCCTTGCCGTCAGGGTGGGCTCCCCAGGGGTGACTTCAGTGGGGTCCTCCATGACCCACGGCGGCCTCAATGCTGAGGGCTTGGCATGCTGTCCGGTCCCTGTGGAAAGAGGACAGGGAGGTGTTCAGTCGAGGCATCCTCTCCGAGGAGATAGACGGCCAGGACCAGCCCGGACATGGTGGCCAGTCAGGGTCAAGAGGAGAGAATGCAGATGTGGAGTACCTGGTGCCAGTGAGACCCTGCAGTTGACTCCATGTGCAGCGGGTGACCATGGCACGATGGCATGGTGTCTGTGATTCCGCCTGCTCACCCTTGGGCAGGAGGGTACCTCCTCTCTCCCTCTCCTATTTGCTGTGCATTCTCTGCCACCGGACCTTTGCACATACTCTCACTTAAACCTGGGGAGCCCTCCTCCCCTCCTGAGGCAGACCCCTCCTCCAGAGTCAGCCACTCTTTGCTGGGACCAACACCCAGGACATGAGGACCATCACCCTGACAAACTGCTCCCTGGTCCGTGCCGTGCTTCCCACCAGAGGAAACAGGACACAGAATCCTCTTTTAGGCATTGAACTCAAACACAGGGACCCCTGGGGCTGACGGCTGGGGAGCACAGGGGGCAGACCCCCAGCTGTGGCCGCAGAGACCCAGGAGGGTCCCCCTCAGCCTCTGCCTCAGAGCAGGGCACGCTGTCTTCCTAGACTCCGTCTCAGGACTGCCCCAGCAGGGAGGCCTTCCTCACTGGGGCCTTCCCTTCCACCCATCACGGCTGGGGAAATCCCACCCTGCCTGTCCAGGCGGCTGGCAGGAGGTCCCTCTGCAGGGGACACCCAGGCCAGCAACACCTCAGACGACCCCTGTCTGGGCTAAAAGTGCCACCTGCGCCCCCTTCTTGCTAGATGCCAGGGAGCAGGACACCCGGCGGCCAGTCCAGAGCTCCCAGGGGCCCGCAGGGTGGACCTCACAGCCCAGGCATGCCTGCCAGGCTGGGGCCAGCCAGCCCCGGCTGCCTAATGACCCAAAGAGCCTCCTGGCCCATTTCCCGCCTATACCTGGCCCCGGGGGCAGGGAATGCGGCGGGGGACAGGAAGTAGGCATGTGAGGTTGGACAGGACACTGCTAGGCCGCGAGTGAGCTGATGCAGGGAAGTCCATCCTCACACTTGCAGAGGCTTGAAGGGGAGGAGAGACCGGGGGCGGGAGGTACGTGGAATGGTGGCTTATTTCTTTCCCAACCTCAAACTTTCACCAAAAACGAGGCACGGCCGAGCCTGTATGGGACAGCAGCATGGACCATCATCGCACGTCAGGCACTTCCAGAGCCAGGTCCCCTTCCTCGGCACCCCCCGCAAACCCTCCCGGGGGCTCCTGGCCCAAGGCCTGCCCAGGCCCGTGCGGCTGGGCCAGTCCACCAAGACCGGCCTCAGAACGGCCCCAGGACGGGGGGCATCTCCACAGACACACCTCCCTGTGCCTGATGCCTCTGCCAGGCAGCCCATGGGGGAGGCATCTCCCCACTGTACAGATGGGGAAATGGAGGCTCTAAGGGGTCAGGTAAATCTCACCTGTGTGTGTGCACAGATGCGCGCACGCACACACACACGCACACGCACACACACACGCACACGCACACACACACACACACACACACACACACCCGTCAGTGTCCACATTCCTTGCAAAAGGTGCCTGGCACCACTCCAGCCTGGGAAGACGGGTCACCGCAGGGTGGTAAGGGTCCTTCACAGGTGCTGTTCCCTGGGACAGCCCACCATACCCCCTGGTGACATTACTGGCGGAGGGAGCCCGGGACAGGCACATCAGGGGCAGGCGATACAGAGTGGGCTCAGCCTCCGTGGGCTCTGCTGTCCCCTTGAGAATTGGCCTCAGCCCCGGCTGGCTGCACACATTGGGCTCCATCTGTGGAATGGGCACAGGAGGAGTGTATGCTCAGAAGCCTGTGGTTGTTTCAGCAAACACCGCCGACCTCCGTCTTATGTCCAGCTCTGAGCTGGGCAGTGGGGACACAGAGGGAGGCAGCCCCTGCTGTTAGTCGGGAATTCGGACCCCAAAGAGTGATGGCTCGGCTGGGCTCGGTGGCTCAGCCTGTAATCCCAGCACTTTGGGAGGCCGAGGCGAGAGGATTGCCTTAGCCCGCGGGTTCGAGACCTACCCGGGCAACTTGGCGAGACCCTGTCTCTACAATAAATCAAAAAAATGAGCCGGGTGTGGTAGTGCATGCCTGTAGTTCCGACTACTTGGAAGGCTGAGGCGGAAGGATCGCCGGAGCCCAGCAGGTCGAGGCTGTGGTGGCCGGGAGCGTGCTACTGCACTCCAGCCTGGGCAATGGAGTGGGACTCCAACTCAAAAAAAAAAAAGAGAGTGATGAGCCATGGCAAGTTCTAGGAGGTGGAGCGAGGGTCACCTGGCCTCGCAGGTGGAGAGAAGGGAATTGGCAGACAGGGAGAGCTCCCTGGAGGAGGCCCGGACTTGCCAAGGGCCACCAAGGCCTGCAGCAGGAACAGCCTCAAAGCTGTGAAGTGACCTCTGTGGGCCCCTCCCACTGGCACCTGCTCGTTGGAATCTGATTGGCATGTGACCAAATCCTCCCACCCCCACTCACCTCTGAGGGGCAGGGACAGGGAGGGGAAGCAGCAAATCAGAAGGGGGCATCCGACTCCAAGGGGCACCCTGGGGACCCTGGGACCCTTCCGGGGAAGCGGCCCGGCCCAGGGAGGAAGGGACGGGCCAATGGGACTCGCCACTCCAAATGCAGAGCTGTGGATCTCAGGGAGATGATGTCGCTGTGTAATCATCCGTCGGGCATTTGTAAGTCATGATGCGCCACGTCAGGCCTGGAGCCTTTGCCCGCCCTGTCCCCTGGTCCTGGGACCCTGGTTCCACCTGGAGAGCTCCCGGGCCCCTTCTCGGGTGCAGCTTGGGACGTCTCGGCAGCCCTGCCCCAGCCGGGACTTGGCTTCCTTCCCGCTTCGTTTCGCCAAACCACGACGCTGGCACCCCAGGGCCATCACCCGACCGGGATCCCAAAGCCCAGGAGGCCAGGCCGCCCAGCCCCAGGCCCACGTCAGGACGCCCGAAGCATCTCAGTCGGACGCGCGAATCCCCCTTGACGTGTGAGGCTCCTCGTTTACGGGGTCTTTAGCTGCCAGCCCCCGGCTTGGGGGCCTCATCCTTCCCTCTGCCACCCTGCCCCTCGAGAGCCAGGCCCGATGTCCACCCCTCAGGAGGAGCAGGGGCCCAGCAGCCCGGCGTCTCCCCACCCCCTGGCCGAGGCCTGGGGCGCCTGGCTCCCCCCTCGTCCACCTTCCCGAGGTCAGACGTGGGCCCATTTGAGGCAGCAATCCGGGCCCCGCGGCCTGCACAGAGCCGGTGCTTGGGGACAGAGTCCCACAGAGAGAGAAAGCGCCGATCTCGGGGGATTTCCCACCCGCTTTGCAAGGTCCACGGAGCCACCGTCATACGTGTGGGCTTCCTGCTCAGATCCTGGCCCATGAGGAAGTGGGCTCCCGGGCCCTGCAGGCTCACAGCTGCAGAGTGCAGGAGGCCCGGCTGCGGGCGGAGGCTGGCGCTGCCAACGGCGGCTCACTGAGCCGGGGCCACTCAGCAGCCATGGGACTCTGCCCTCTTTGCTCCGTTTACCGTGGGGACAGACACCTGGGGACCCCGGCCAGGTCCGGACAGGCTCCAGCCGCAGCCCTGGGGAGGGGAGCCTGGCACCAGAACACGGAGACCTGGGACCAAACCCCAGAGGCTGGGGACCTCCCCAGCCGAGGAGAGAGAAGGCGCCGATCTCAGTTTACTCCGCCAGAAAATGAGACGAGCCCAGCCCCCATGCCAGGAGGTGGATGGGTTGCGCTGCTGGTTCTCCGGGTTAATGCTCAGCGTTGAATCAGTGAGAGTTGGGAGGAGGAAGGGAGAGTTCTGACCTGCCCTGTACAGGCATGGAGAGGCCTGGCCTGAGCCTTCACAGGCTGTGCTGGCCAAGTCCTTGGAGGGACCATCGAGACCTCATCCACATCACCGAGAAGCACCTCTGGAGAGTTGTCTTGTCATCCCGTATCCTGGGGCGAGCACTGTCCCCCCAAAATTCATGCCCTCCAGGAACCTCAGAATGAGACCTCATTTGGAAATAGGCTCTTTGCAAATGAAGGTAACTGTTGTACTGGAGAAGGGTGGACCCCAATCCAGCGACCAATGTCCTTATGAGAAACAGGACACGATTGCCTGAGCCCACGGGTTTGAGACCAGCCTGGGCAACTTGGCGAGACTTCATCTCTACGACAAATCAAAAAATTAGCCGGGCACGGTGGCTCACGTCTGCAGTTCCAGCTACTTGGAAGGCTACAGCGGCCGGGAGTGTGCCACTGCCCTCCAGCCTGGGCAACAGAGTGAGACTCCAACTTAAAAAAAAAAGAAAAAGAAAATGAGCAAAGGGGCTTGGCATGGTGACTCACGCCTGTAATCCCAGCACTTTGGGAGGCGGAGGCAAGAGGATTGCCTGAGCTCAGGGGATTGAGACCAGCCTGGGCAACTTGGTGAGACCTCATCTCTACGACAAATCAGAACATTAGCCGGGCGTGGTAGCGCATGCCTGTAATTCCGGCTACTCGGAAGGCTGAGGCGGAAGGATCGCCGGAGCCCCGCAGGTCGAGGCTGCGGTGGCCGGGAGCGGCCGCTGCACTCCAGTCTGGGCGACAGAGTGAGATTCCAACTCAAAAAAAAGAAACTCCCATACCTGCAGCCTCCTGTGCCTCGACTTCCTCCTCTGAGCAGTGGGGTGAATGCCACCATGTCAGTGGTTTTCTGCCAGGGGCATTCAACAAGGTCGCACACATAAAACGTGGGACCAGTGTCCAGCCTGGGAAGCCTCATGACTGCCGACGGTGGTATGGACAGTCACGTAACTCAGGCCCCTCTGACCGCCCACTGGAGAAAGGGTCACCCGAAGGGGGGCGGAACCACTGCGCCCACGGCACAGCCCTGGCGACTCCGCCTGTCCCGGGTGGCACAGCCCGGGGCAGAGGTGGGGTTGGGC